CTCGGGCGCCGCGGGCGGCAGCCACGTGACGGTGCAGAGGGGCCGGTCGTGGGCCTCGACGAGGCGCCGGTTGCCCGCGTCGCTGAGGTAGCCGGACACCGTCGTGCCCAGGGACCGCTCCGCGAGGGACTTGCCGTAGGGCGCGGTCGTCGCGCGCTGGCACGTCGCGTCCCAGAGGCTCGGCGCCTGGGCAGCACAAGAGTGATTCAACGTCGCTTCAACTTGAGTGTTCCGCGCGCGCGCGTTCCGGAAAAAGCGCCCACGCTTCGAGGCCGTTCCGAAAGATGATCGCTCGTCCAAAAGTCAGCCGAAACGAGTGGAAAACGGCCGAGAAAGGAGCCTTTGAAGTTGGGAACTTCGCTCTCTTTTGCTGCCCTGCTCGGCGCGTCGAGGCGCGGCGCGCCGGGGAGCGGCGCGCTCCGCGGGCCCCGGAACGCGGTCCTGCCCTCGCGCTCCGCCTCGAGGAGCTCCGGGGCCGCCTCGCCGTCCCAGGACAGCGCCGAGACCCAGGTCTCTAAATCTTTGTCGCGGAGGTCCACGGTCTCGGGCTCCGCGGCCTTGGGGCGCCGCGGCGACGGCGCGGGCGCCGGTGCCGGCGCGGCCGCGCGGCTCAGGCGCGTCACCGTCGGCGCGAGGGGCGCCGGCGCCGCGCCCTGGCCCGCGAATGCCTTCAACTTCAGGAAGTGGGACGCGAACGGCCGGAACGCCTGCGACTTCGCGAGCGACGAGCCGAGGGGCCGCTTCCGCGCCGGCGGCGACGCGGGCGTCTTGGCGGAGGCCGACGACAGGCTCCCGCCGTCGTCGCCGGCGCTCACGGACAGGCGCCGGCCCGGCGTCCGCTCCGGCGACCGCGGCGCGCGGGTCCGCGTCTCGTCGCGCGACGGCAGGCGGCCGCCGCGGCTCGCGGACGCGCGGCTCCGCGTCGCCGCCGTGTCCAACACGTAGGTCGACCGCCGCTCCGACGCCCAGTCGCGCGCCTCGGACGCCGCGAGCTCGCGGATCAGTTTCCCGATCAGGTCCCCGTAGACGAAAAGGGACCGCCGCGTGGCCCGCAACGCGGCCTCGCGGCGCGCCCAGGACTGGACCTTCTCCAGCGCCCGCGTCTCCCGGAAGCGGAGCGCGAGCGTCGCGACGTAGGCCTCGTACTCGCGGCGCCGCGCGGCCTCGGACGCCGCGTCGCGGCGCCGCGCGGCCGCCTGGAGCCGCGTCGCGGCCTTCACCCGTTTCAGCGCCCGGAAGAGGGGCGCCGTCTCGCGTCGCGCGGCGACCACACGCGACGCCGTCTGGAGCGCCACCGCGGCGCGGACGCGCGCGTCGCGGCGCTTCGTCTGGTCCGTGAGGTCGTTGACGATGTTTTGCCCGCGGAGCCGCATCTCCCGCAGGATGTCCTCGCGCATCATGGCGTCGCTGACGCGCCGCTGGCGCGTGGCGTGCAGCGAGCTCCGCCGCCGCGCGCGGT